ACTATATATGGGAGCTATATCTAAATCTGGACCGATTTTCAGGAAACTTAACACACATCATTCTAGACCTAATTCATTACGCTATGCCAAATTTCGTACAAATCGAAGGATAAATAGGCACTTTGGTACACCATTCACCTAAAATCGGGCGAAACTATATATGGGAGCTATATCTATATCTATATCTATATCTATTTCGTGCAAATCGAAAGATATATAGGCACTTTGGTACACCATTTACAAAAAATCGGACGAAAATATATATGGGACCTATATCTAAATCTGGACCGATTTTCAGGAAACTAAACATACATCATTCTAGACCTAATTCAGTACACTATACCAAATTTCGGGCAAATCGAAAAATATATAGGGCCTTTGGTACACCATTTACATTAAATCGGACGATAATATATATGGGAGCTATATCTAAACGTGAATCGATTTTCACGAAACTTAACACACATCATTCTAGACCTAATTCACTACACTATACCAAATTTCGTGCAAATCGAAAAATATATGTGGAGACTTTGGTACACCATTTACATTAAATCGGACGAAACTATATATGGGAGCTATATCTAAATCTGAACCGATTTTTCCCAATTTCAATAGGGTTCGTCCTTGGGCCAAATAAGTGGCCTATGCCAAATTTCATCCAATTCGGATTATACTTTGTTTACAATTTGACATGGACAGACAGACGGACGGACGCGTCCGTCATAAAATTATCCGTTTGTTTGTTATATTGGCTGGTCCGTCGGTTTTAAAGAGCCATAAACAAATCATAAAAATTATAAATGCTCCAAGTGGTGGTGGGGCGGTAGCTGGCAAAAAGTACAATTCCAGCCATTATTTTGCCATGTAGGGATGGGGGAAGGCAATTATCCCTCTCGGCCATTAAATATTAACCCGAACACCACTACAAATGCAATTGAACACAATATGATGACTTCGCTTGGAAAATAATGAAAAATAAGTAGCACCATTTTATGGTCAACTGATGATGACCATGGCCAACAACAATTGAGAGTAATATTGGTGAGAAATATGGCATTTTTTAATGTTGTGGTTGTTAGGGTAGTGGTGTTGGTAAATGTGACTGCCACTGCTTGTGTTAATGATGTCGATCATAAGGAGGTTTTCAAGTGCCATTTTGTGGTTGTGGTTTAATTTTTTTATATTTTAAGTATGCGGAGTAGAGAGTTTAAAATAGGGGTTGAGTGGGTATGTGGGGCTCACGAAGAGGAAGGGTTAACATTTTATGAAGATTTTATTTTGTCAGATTGAAAAAAATATATATATAGAATTTTTTTCAAATACTGAAAATAATCCTATTTGCTAATGGACACTATCCTGAAACTTTGGCAATATTGAATGTGAGTATATAAGGCAATATTATGCACATACTCGTTAATTAGAAATTTCATACATTTTACATAATTTTGCCATTGCCATAATACGTTTGTGCCTCCCACACACACACATACTGGAGTCACGCAAAATTCAAATTTATTAGCAAAATTTATTATTCCCCTTTTTTGCTTCTGCTCAAAAATAGGTCATTATGGGAAAGTATTATGAAATCTTAATTATAAATAGCATGAATCATTTTACTTGTTATTAATATTACCTCATCTATTATTAAAAACGAATACAAAATTGAATCACATGACCTATGTTGCAAGCAGGCAGGCAGACAAACAGACAGACAGGCTGTGAAATTTATTTTTTCGGCAAATTCCAATTCGAAAGTACACATGACAACAACAGTGCTATGAAAGTTCTACATTTTCGAATTTTAATTGAAAATAAAATTTATGGCAATATAAGAAGAACACGAACGTGTAGGAGCTATAAAAATAATTAACAATTGAAATTTGTAGTTATTAAGATTCCATCCGCAATAAATGATTGCCTTATTAATCAGATATAATTGTTATAGGTTTTTTATTTTCTCAATTAATTGAAATGTATTTTGAAAATATATTTATGATCAATATTTATTATTTATTTATTTTTGAGAATTATCAATCAATGTCAAAATCAATTCTATACGGATTAAAAAAAACATTAAAATATTAAAACAAAAATCATACATAAAATTTTAAGTATAATATTTTTATACACCTCACCACACTGTGGTACAGGGTGTTTCAGGGTGAATCACTTTTTGAGTCGATTTATCCATCCGTCCGTCTGGTGGCGTTAAATTGTAAAAAAAGTACAGGTCGCATTTATAATCCGACGAATCCTATTGATATTGGGAAAAAATCGGTTCAGATTTAGATATAGCTCTCGTATATATTTTCGATCGATGTAAGATAAATGGTGCACCAAAGTACCTATATATCTTTCGATTTCCACGAAATTTGGCATAGGGTACTCAAATGAGTGTAGAATGATATGTGCTAAGGTTCGTGAAAATCAGTTCAGATTTAGATATAGCTCCCATATACAGTTCCGTCCGATTTTATGTAAATGATGCACCAAAGTCTCTATATATCTTTCGATTTCCACGAAATTTGGCATAGCGTACTTCCACGAAATTTGGCATAGCGTACTATATTAAGTCTAGAAAGATGTGTGTTAAATTTCATGAAAATCGGTTCAGATTTAGATATACCTCCCATATATAGTTCCGTCCGATTTTTTGTGAATGGTGCACCAAGGTACCTATATATTTTCGATTTGCACGAAATTGGGCATAGGGCACTGAATTGAGTGTAGAATTATGTGTGCTAAGGTTCGTGAAAATCGGGTCAGATTTAGATATAGCGCCTATGTCAATATTCGTCCGATTTAATGTAAAATGTGCACCAAAGTACCTATATATATATATATATATTTCGATTTGCACGAAATTTTACATAGCGTACTTAATTGCGCCAGGAGTGATGTCTGGCAAGCTTCGTGGAAATCGGTTCAGATTTAGATATAGCTTCTTTATATAGTTTACTCCGTTTTTATGTAGATGGTGCACCAAACTACCAATATTTTTCAGATTGAGGCAAAATTTTGCATAGCGTATTGAATCAGGACCTGATTGATATCTGCGAAGTTTTGTTGAAATCGGTTTGGATTAGGATATAGCTCCCATATATAGTTTCGACCTATTTTACTTTCAATATTAATTTCTATTGAGGGCTGCACAAAGCTATAATACCCTGACAACATAGTTGTGTAGGGTATACAAATCTACGGCTTGAAAAAAAAAAGTTTTTTAATAACATTTAAATGAACGTCTTGTTGGAGACTTGAATAAAACTTTTTTTGGAGACAAGAAAAAACATTTTAAAAATACACGTCTTGTTGGAGACTTGAATAAAAATTTTTGGAGGCAAGAAAAAACATTTTAAAAATTGACGCCTTGTTAGAGACATGAAAAAATAATTTTTAAGAAATCCACGCCTTGTTGGAGACTTGAAAAAATATTTTTTGGAGACATGAACAAATAATTTTTAAGAAATCCACGCCTTGTTGAAGACGTGAAAAAGATATTTTTTTGGAGACATGAAAAAATATTTTTTAAGAAATCCACGCCTTGTTGGAGACTTGAAAAAACATTTTTTTGGTGACTTGGAGCCATGAAAAAATAATTTTTTTGGAGACATGAACAATTATTTTTTAAAAAATCCACGCCTTTTTGAAAATTTGAAAAAATTGGAGACATGAACAAATATTTTTTAAAAAATCCACGCCTTTTTGAAAATTTGAAAAAAATGGAGACATGAACAAATATTTTTTAAAAAATCCACGCCTGTTTGGAGATTTGGAAAAATTAGAGACATGAAAAAATAATATTTAAAAATCCACGCCTGTTTGGAGATTTGAAAAAAAAAATTGGAGACATAAAAAAATAATATTTAAGAAGTCCATGCCTTGTTGGAAATTTAAAAAAATCCACGCCTTTTATGGTTAAAAAATCAGCGCCTTGTTGGATACTAAAAGAAATTATAAAATCTGCATCAACAAATATTCTTTGAAATTATTACACCCAGTTTCTGGGAAAAAATATATTTTTTTAATTTATTATTTTGTTTTAATTTTTTAAATTCCCCCTTCAAAAAAATTATAATTTAGCTTATTTTTTATTTCCCAACAACAACAAAAGTTTTCATATTACAAGTTCTTCTCAATTCATTGGTGACTTTATGGCCTCCCCTAAGCCAATTTCTCGCTTAACCACATCCCTAAAATCGGTTAGGGGAAAAAAGAAACTTAATTCTCTTCCCTCCGAATGGCTTTAATGAAACTTTATGTTGCAATTTAGACCAAATTTTATAACTCCTAAAAAAAATGTTTCTTGTAAAATTGCACAACTTTGTGGTTTCGTTTTGGGTATCAGCAAAGACTTTTTGTATGAATGTATGTAAGTGTATGTATATGTGTGTGTGTGGTTGTTCTCCAACGTTTATTTTAATGCGATAATTGTCTTCTTTTAATTACATTTTTAATATCCTTAATCTAGTAGCTCGAGAGGTTGTTTCAAAAATGTGTGTATCTTCTGTCGTCACCGTCGCACCACTACCACCACAAAAAGACTTACAAAGAGGCTGACACTTGTGGCAAGTGAGCGGAAAAACGTGTAGGGAGGTATTTTCAACAAGAAAGCATGAAAAAGAATATGTTTTTTCTTGTGCGGGAAAATTATATATATATATATATATATATATATTCGGAGGTTGGCGGTTGGGGTTTGGAGAATGAGATGACAACTTGGGGTATAATAAAAAGTCGTAACTTCCAAGTAATTAAGACAACAATTGTACCAAAAATTTTATTGTCGTCATTTTTGTTTCGTTTAATCTTTTGGTGTTGTACATGTTTTTTTTTTTGTATGAACCAACGCACCAAGTTGATCTCCCTAAAGCGTCGAGATATGAGACGTGACGAAATATTGTTTTCACAAATGACAATTTTTCCTTGTGGGATAATTTGGAAAAAACAATACAATGAAAACAATTTCTTAATATATATATATATATATGGCTTACCATTACCATCATAAGGGGACTGGACATACCTGCAAGAAAAAAAAAACAAAAATAAATATGTTAATGTTAGGCATTCACGCATTTTTAATAAATCTGTAGACTTTTTATACCGTACATAACTATGTTGTCAGGTTATTATAGCTTTGTGCAGCGCCAAGAGTTTGTAACGCCGCGAAATATTTGTCCTAGACCCACCTTTAAATATACCGACCGATATACTATATCTCGACTAGCTGACTCGATCTAGGCATGTGTGTCCGTCCGTCCGTCTGTCCATTATAATTTGTAACCACGATACAGGCCACAGTTATGGACCAATCTTCACGAAATGTTGCATGTAGGATGGGTTCTGGCCAATGAAGACCCCTATTGTTTTAGGTAAAGATTGGTTAATATTTAGGGGAGGACCAAATACTTAATTGTTATCTGTTCGCTCCAGAGGCCGAAGCTATGACCCGAACATCTCGAAAATTTACAAGGAGAAAGGTATCGGGCTAAAAATAAACATGCCTGTTTTGATAAAGATTGGTCAATATTTAGCGGGTCAAATGGACCCTGACATTTGTGTGAAAAATTACAAAATTTGTATTCTATGGCGTATATAGTTACTCCTGAAGGACATAGACCCGAGAAGTTGACAGTATATCCAGAAGGAATGATTGACCTTTAAATCAATACCCCAAATTATAGCAGGACATCACAACGGAACCCACGGTGAAGGGAATCTGTACTGGATATTAGTAATATTTGTTGACCTCTAGTCGGCCAATATGGTGCAAATATCGTGAAATATTGCCCAAGCTCAGAATACAGAACCACAGAAAGCTAGATTTCCATGGATGTTGCGTAGGATATCATATGGTCGGTCCCGTCCGACTATACTGCTCCGCTCACTGGTTTAAAATTTTTTTTTTTTCAAGTATCCAACAAAGCTTAAATTTTTTAAGAAATATTTTTAAAGTCATGGATTTTTATAAAAAAAAAAAAAAATATTTTTCAAGTGGATTTTTTGGATGGATTTTTTAGAAATATTTTTCATTTTTTTTTACTATTGGATTTTATGAAAGATTTTTTTAAATCCCCGCTTTAGGGGTTCCTAGTCTTAATGGCTTATAGAAAAAATATTGAAAAAACACGTGTTAGTGGCAAAATATTTTTAAATTTTGATAATTGTAGGCTATGTGGAAAAATATTTTTCCGAAATCTACACCTTCAGGTAAAAAAAATATTTTTTAAAAAATCTACACTTCTTGGTTTAAAAACTATTAAAAATGTACGCATTGTTGGCAACTTGAAAAAAATAAATTTTTTTAAATTCACGTCTTGCTGATGTCTAATTTTTTATTTATTTATTTTTGCTTTGTATTTTTTATATTTTATTTACAAAACGGTTGTTTTTTTCATAATTTATGTACCCTCCATAAATATTTAACATTTTGTTATAATTTATTTCTTTTTTGTGTTGTTTTATTATTCATATAGAAAATTTATTGCCTGAGTTCAAGTTTAGCTGCGCTTCAATATTTATGCTGGCCCCATGGCCAATTGAATGAATGCAGTGACTGGAGGGCGAGCGAGGCAAGTTTAAAACCATATGTCGCCAATTTCCTATGGAGTGTGACTATTTGACTTAGGGTGTGACATGATTATGCTTGAATGAGAAAAAAAAGCAATAACAACAACAAACGACAAATTTATGAATTCTGAGATTTATGTTTCTTTTTATACCCTACACAACAATGTTGTTAGGGTATTATAGCTTTGTGCAGCGCCAAGAGTTTGTAACGCCGCGAAATATTGGTCCTAGACCCACCTTTAAGTATACCGATATTTCGACTAGCTGAGTCGATCTAGACATGTGTGTCCGTCTGTCCAATATAATTTGTAAACACGGCCACAGTTATGGACCAATCTTCACGAAATTTTGCATGTAGGATGGGTTCGGCCCAATAATTTTTGTCGGTTTTTGTGGTCGTTCCAGAGGCATGTCTGTTCTGATAAAGATCGGCATGTCTGTTTTGATAAAGATCGGTCAATATTTAGCGTGTCAAATGTGTGAAAAATTACAAAATTTTTATTCTATGGTGTATATGTTTGCCCCTGAAGGACATCGACCCAAGAAGTTGGTAGTATATCCAAGAGGAGTGGTTGGCCTTTAAATTGATACCAATTATATTTTCGTATGTAATCTGATGTCGGAGTCAAAACGTAAATATTTAACGGTGCTTACATATTCAGATATTATTTAATAAGCCATTACCATAATAGAGGGCGGAAATATAACGCTTATCGCTTTGAAATGTTCCATGAGGTTGCAGTTATGGTCAAGGACAGCGCTTATAATTTTCGGTGATGATCAGATAATTATTTTGGTATATAGTGAACCGAAAACTATTTTTTTTTTGTGGTTTTTTCGATTCATCTATAGGCTATAAGCCGAACATCACAACACAACCCACGGTGAAGGGAATATGGACAAGTAATTAGAAGAGCTGTACTGAATATTGGTAATATTCGAAAATTATGTCAGTGTAAGCAAGAGGTGCTGTAGACCTCCAATCGAGCAACAAATATTAGCCAGGATCAGTATAAAAATCCGCAGACAGATAGAGTTCTGTGGTAGTTGTGTAGAATATCGTATGGTCGGCCTCGTCCGACTATACTGCTCCGCTCACTGGTTTTTTATTATTTTTATACCCTTCACCACACTGTGGTACAGGGTATTATGTCTTTGTTCATATGTTTGTAACAGGCAAAAGGAAACGAGATAGACCCATAGTTCCTTTCTGAGTCGATTTACGCATGACTGTCTGTCCATGTTAAATTGTAAACAAAGTACAGGTCGCATTTACAGTACAATTTGGATGAAATTTGGCATAAAAAATCGGTTCATATTTAGATATAGCTCCCATACATTTTTTCTTCCGATTTAATGTAAATGGTGCACCAAAGTCCAAATATATCTTTCGATTTCCACCAAATTTGGCATAACGTACTGAATTGAGTCTAGAATGATGTCTGCCAAGTTTCGGTCCAGATTTAGATATAGCTCCCATATATATTTTCGTCCGATTTAGGGTACATGGTGTACCAAAGTCCCTATATATCTTTCGATTTGCACGATATTTGGCATAATGTACCGAATTGAGCCGGTCCAGATTTAGATATAGCTCCCATATATATTTTCGTCCGATTTAGGGTACATGGTGTACCAAAGTCCCTATATATCTTTCGATTTGCACGATATTTGGCATAATGTACCGAATTGAGCCTAGAGTGATGTCTGCCAAGTTTTGAGAAAATCGGTCCAGATTTTGATATAGCTCCCATATATATTTTCCTCCGATTTAATGTAAATGGTGCACCAAAGTACTATCTTTCGATTTCCACCAAATTTGGCATAACGTACTGAATTGAGCCTAGAATGATGTCTGCCGAGTTTCGTGAAAATCGGTTCAGTTTTGGATTTAGCTCCCATATATAGTTTCGTCCTATGTCATGTAAATGGTGAACTAAAGTCCCTATATATCTTTCGATTTGCACGAAATTTGGCATGACGTACTGAATTGAGCCTAGAATGATGTCTGCCATGTTTCGTTAAAATCGGTACAGATTTTGATATAGCTCCCATATATATTTTCGTCCGATTTAATGTAAATGGTGTACCAAAGTCCACATATATCTTTCGATTTGCACGAAATTTGGCATAACGTACTGCATTAAGTCCTAAACGATGTGTGTTAATTTTCGTGAAAATCGGTTCAGATGTAAATGATGCACCAAAGTCCACATATATCCACATACCAAAGTCCACATCGATTAGCACGAAATTTGTCATAACGTACCTAATTGAGCCTTGAGTGATGTCTGCCAAGTTTCGTGAAAATCGGTCCAGATGTAGATATAGCTCCCATATATTTGTCCGTCCGATTTAATGTAAATGGTGCCCCAAAGTCCCTATATATCTTCCGATTTGCACGAAATTTGGCATAACGTACTGAATTGAGCCTAGAGTGATGTCGGAGTCTGAGTTTCGTTGAAATCGGTTCATATTTGGATATAGCTTTCATATATATTTTCGCCCGATTTTAAGTAAATTGGGCATCAAACTCCTCATGTTAGTCAGATTGACATGAATTATACATCCTGTTTAATTACTCATAGTGGCGAAGGGTATCATATTGTCGGCCCCGTCCGACTTTGCTACTTTCCTTACTAGTTTTGCGCTGGCTTTGAGGCTATAGACACTACTGAGTAAAAAAATTGTGGCCTATATCATAAATAAAAATTTCAATATTTTTTCCCATATTTAAAATGGAAGAATACTTTTTTCAAATAGCCAACGTAGAATAGCCGACAAGGCGTGGATAATTTGTTCAAGTAGCCACCAAGGTGTGCACTAAAAAAAATAGTTTTTTGTGGAGCCTTGGCGGCTACTTGACAGAGGGCCTCTTTTCCCTCTGTCTTAACAGAGTCCAACATTAATGCAATCAATTGTGTTTATCACCCAGGAA